GGCACAGACAGGAGCAGGCAGGGGGCACAGAGAGAACTGTTCCTGTCTGTGCTCCTGCCCTCTGAAGATGCCGGTCACGGGTGCTGGCGAAACGTTAGGAAACAAAACTTCAAGACCACGGCCACACAGCCCGGAAGACCCACAGCAGCCACAGCACTGTTGTGTCTGCAGCGAGACGCGGCACAGACCAAGTCTTATAAAGAGAATGTTTATGGAAGGGAGAAAGGATGCTGGGAGAGCAGCAAGGGACAACGGAGACCAGTGGCAGCATGGACACCCATATACCCCCACCCACGTATGAATACATATACCCAGGCATGCCCCTAGCAGATCTGCTGAAATGTCCTGCACTGAATTTGGTTAAAGGGACGTCATGTTGTATCTCCCTTTGCTCCATCAGCGCATGTTTACACACGTATTTCATTGGATGATAGTAGACCTTCACGTACCTGACAGCCACAACCACTGATTGACTCTCCTTAGCAATTTTACTGGTGATGTCTTGATAGTAAGCTTAAGGTGCGGGGGGGAGAGAGAAACACATATGGCAGTGAAGGATTAAAACTTAATTGATATGAATCTGGATAGCACAATGTTGAAATATTCTCTTCTCTTAAAAGTTACTGTCAATTTTATTATTTCAGAAACCTTGTGGTGGCAAACTTTTTCTAAGTCCCACCACAGACCCCCAATTCTTGGACTTGCCCAATTCTTTTTCACTCCTCATCTTCCCTCAGTGGGGTGTGAAGAGCTTCAGGTGTTATTACAGTGTCGTACCGCAATGTCGTACGCCTTGACACTGATGTGCTTGGATCGGTTTTAGAACCTGGGCAATCAAACTGCAGCTAGTTTTGCACCAAAATAAGAAGAAAAGGATCTTACCCAGAAGGAAATAGACACGGGATTCAGATCCTGGCTCTGTACACTCTCAGGGACACACCTGGCCTCCTCAAAATAGGGTAATCAGACCAAGGCTCGCTTGCTCTTAAGTTTAATTCCAGTTGAATTGAATCAAATAGTGAAATGATTATTCCCCAGAACTTCTCTCCTTCCCACCCTGCGCGTGGCAAGGTTGGAGGGCTGCAGCCAAGGCCAGTCTAGCCCTTGCCGTAACCACTTACCAATGCTCCCGATCATGCCAGCCCCTCCGTGGTAGAAAACAAACCCTTTTCTCCGGCTGGTGGCTGGTGCTTTGGGATAGTAAACCCTGACGGGCACCCCGTCAAAGCTTAAATCTCTGGAGGAAAGGCCTGGATCCACTCTTGATTTCTTGAGAGACATCAGGAAGCGAATGAAAGCAACTTGTCTGCATAGATGCAACAGTTCCAAGCCCTTCCCCTGTTTTGGAAAAAAGGGGAAGAAAGCTGAGAAGGATTCGGGGGACAGAGGAGCCTCTCCCTCCTTCACCCAACGTGCATGACCCCTTCAACTGAAGACTTGGTAGCAGCATTTGGTAGCATCAGTCTTGAGTTTTTAACGGCTTTTAAAGCATGCTGTATGACCTATCTGGTTCAACCTCCAGTCCATGTCTGGTGCAAACACAGAGGATGGGCTTATTCAGTAACTAGTTTAAATGTGTTGGGCGAAAGCAGTCATCCAGTAGTTGGAGGAGGAAGAAATTTATCACAGTTCTCCCCAACAGAGTGTGTTTGTTCTCTGTTACCAACAAAAGCGAATATGTGTAGCTCAGGGTTGAACCGTGCAGACCTTGGGGTTCTCTGAGCTTGGCTGCTTTCTTGCAGACGCTTTCGTTATCTTCAGGACTAGCTTGCGTTCTCTGTTGCCCAAGAGGTTCCCTGAGCCACACAGACTGACTGCACACTGGAGGAGTGTCCCTCCCGTGCCACCCGCCTCCGAAACAGGAGCATCTCAGTGCTCTGGGCAACCGTTCCCCTAACACATCAATGTCTTTCCACAGTGATATTGAGATTCTATTCCTTTGGTATTTATAGCACCTTCCTCACCCAATCTGGTGGCTTAATACTGACTTTGTTATTCATTTATTGTTTTCGCTTGTCTGTTTTAATGTATTGTTGAATTGCTTTGGTGATTGAGGCAGCTTATAATTAAATTTAAAGTAAATACAGGTCACCGAACTGGAATGTGAGACACACCATACTAAACCTTGATTTACTGATACAGCCGCAATTAGTTGGGTTGGCAAATAGCATCATAAATCACGTTCATAGACCCCAGTGTTTTTCTCCAATATGCTAAGGAAATGATAAACCTATTCAGGCCTTATTGTGCAATTTCCAGCTTAAGGATTTGAACTTAACTTTCCACTGAAATTAAGGAGATTTCAGGAAGTCAAACTTGATTCTCAAAGTCTCATTGATTGAGTGGAAAATGAGTTCATCTTGATTTTAATGAGACATAAGTTCATCAGTTTAGTAGAGATGGGTGAATGAAAATTGCCGCCAACTAGTGATTCAGCACTACTTCTCCCATAATTCTTGCTCATGGTAGTGTCAGGCCAGGGCTTATGGGATAGAGAGGAGCGGAAGGAAATTCCCTTCTCCAACTCAGTTTCATGTGAGCATTTCGTTTTTGATTTGGCTGGCATTTGACTCATCAATTTTTACATACCTACATCCATATCTCTTTTATTTTCATGTGCTGCCTGGTCAAATGCCAGATGGTGGGAAACCTGGTGGCCTTTTGCTTCCTTTGCAGATCTGTCAACCCATTAAATTAAAAGACCCACAACCTGTAATCCTCCCATGGATTTAATCAGGAAACTGAATGCCTTTTCTGCTGCTTACACGTCCGACTGTCACACATTTTTTATGCATTTGTCTCCAAGCCATTTCTTCTCAGGCACCAAATCCATCACATTTTAAATGAATGGGACAAAGAAGGTTCGTTTTCCAAAGACGGTTAGTCCTCCACATTGTTCATGGGAACAACCCTTTTATCAGGGCCCTGAAGCATTATTCCCAGGAGTTTGGCTTGAAGGGGCAGATAGGTTAAAGTTAAAGAGTTGTTGGTGTTAAAGGGGGAAAAGAGAGAAACCTAATTTCTCAGCCATTGTTGGTACTTAGTGTAAGATAAATGGGGTAGAAATGTATTCATGTGAAAGACATCTCCTCCTCCTCCTCCTCCTGCTCCTGCTCCTGGGTAACTGGCTCCCCACATTCTCACCCCAAACTGATGAAATTCACTGGTCCAAATAATTCTGCCACTAGCCCATTTACCCATTGCATGTGGGAATGCTCCATTATCTTTGATAAAGAAGAAAACTGTGAGAAAAAAAATCAAAAATACTCAACCTTTCTGAGTGCAATGTAAGAACTGCTGATAGAGGGGCAGGGGGTAAAAAGTTGGGAAGTGATAAAACTTGGCAGGGCAAATCTGTCAGCTCTTCAGGGTAGCCCAGACTAGGAGGCCAAAGTCACGCAGGCTAATGCTACTTTGATTATAGGTTATGTGACTCTTGCACGTCTGAAAGCTTCAGGGTCTTGTCTGAGACATCTTCTCAGGTTCCGTTTCTGCCCTGGACTCAAATTTTCTTTTATCTGACTGCTGTTTTGAGTGCGGCTCTTCCTCCTGTCCCTCAAGGCTATTCCTTCTTCCCGGTACCAAATCTAGATGTTGGTCTCCCCTTTTTCAGTCTGTTTGTGTTATTCCGGAGTGTCCAAAGGAAATGGTAAAAAAAAGGCAAGATGATGTGATACACATAAAAAAACACTTTGATCACACTGTTGCAGCCACCATCTTGACTTTTTTACTGCACCCTGGCTTGCTTCCTGTTTCTTACCTGTTCGTTGCCTTGCCTGAGAAAGTCTCTCCTTCTTATCCTGACAAGTGTTATTACCCCCCACCAAATTTCCACCAGTCTTTCTCTTCTCTGCAGTTTTCAGATTGCGCTGAAAATTTTTAGGTGATGTTGATATTTTCTTTCCTTACTGCTTTCCTCTTGCCCTCTCAGGAGATCCAGATCCAGATCCAGATCCAGATCCAGATGAAGGTGACTGGGCCTGTCAACTCACACAGGTTAAACGATTAATTAAAAGGTCAGTCCTAATCTGTAATTGGTCTTGCAGCCTGTAGTTTTCCCTTTTAAACAAGAGTAGACTTACCAGTGTGAAGAGTACAACAAGACCCACATGAAGGAGGCGCAGCGTAAAGGGATGGTCAAATCCAGAGGGAATCTTCGTTCGGGTGAAATCGTAATAAATTGCCCAGGAGAGCAGCAAGAAAGTTGCAATTCCTAGAACAGCTCCTCCTCCAAACACAATGGCAGAAAAAAGTTCCATTTTGGTAGGGAAAATGGCTGAGACCGAAAGCATAGGAGCCACAACCCAAGGTGACTCTGCTGAAAGTTCTCCTTAGCTTTCCAGAAGTTGTCTTCCCTTCTGAAACTGCACGCTTGTTTGTACAGTAATTCCCAGTTATTCAGCACACCTCCATATGTATACTAGCAGATGTTTCCATGATCGTGATAATTACACCAGATAAGGTGGATTGTTTGTTAAAATGTTGGTTGGAATGTAGGTCATCCAGATGCCTACTTTGGTTCTAGGCCAGAAGATGAGGAGTCCAACCCCATGACTGAAACCTTCTCTGGATGGTGGAACTACTGCTCTGTGTAGGACTGAGAACAACGGCCAGGCTGACAAGCAGTACACGATTCAGGATGTTTGTACCAACTCCTGGTGATGACATATGCTAGCTGTTTCCACCCTAGTGTTACGTTTGATGTTGATGGTCCTATTCTCAGGTATGTTTTGTGGTGACCATCCCCAGAGAGACAGACACATGCCTTCCTCTTTACAATTTGTATCTTCCTTTGCTGACTTACAATCATAGAATGGAAAGTTGGGACCCTTGAAATGATCCAGTCCAACCCCCTCCCAGCACAGGATATAAAACATAGCAAAGTATCATAATCACCACCATCATTAATAGTATTATGGTGGGGCTTTCTGGGAAAGATGACGGACCGAAGACAGCTCCGTGTAAAGCGGGCCCAACTTCTGCGGACTTTAATAAGGAGCTGATTAACATATGATCCTCTCTGGATAAAAGAGAGAGATGGCGAGATTGCCCAAGCTGTTTCTCCTTATGATTGTTCCTCTTTCTCATGGAGAAACTGCAAGACAACAATCTCAGGTGTGTGTGTGGGGGGGGGGGGGAATCGGGGGCCTCCATAATTGCTCCAGCCGC